AAAAAAAAAAAAAAAAAAACGGGGGAGAAGGTGCTCTGGTTAGATGAGAACAAAATGTTATTCATTATGAAAAAAGATCCAGACACCATCATCCTGTGCTAGGATTTTTTTCAGACAGCATAGGGAAGCTCATAATTCTTAAAGAGAGAAAGAGTTGAATACAGAGAAATTCTGAGAGAAAATCTTAAAAAAAAATGTGATGGTAATGTGACAAATGTTGATAGATGTAAATAGCTTTGGCAGGTACTAATTCAAATAGGTTAATTAGTTCCCAAAACTGAACTGATGAGTAAGCCTAACATTATATCACCAGAGTTCATCATCATCATCAGTGCATCATCATAAGCCTGGTTAGGTAAGAGGTTGTACATATAAACAAAAACATTCCAAATAAAACTCTAATCCCTGATATAAACTGAAAATACAGCCTCACAGAGAAAATACTCCAGTGTGCAACACAAATAAATCTGCTTGTATTTTACTATTGCAGCACATTTTCAGTATTCCTTCCTCCGATTAATGACCTAATTCCAGGGTGTAGTAAGTGGTGTTAGAACATCAGTCAGTCAGTCAGATGGGGCGTGGTCTGTTCTGTCATGCTAATTAACTTTTAGATATCATTATAAATCTTAGTTCATGCAGGAGAGTTAACACACAAGTACCTTCATTATGAACCACAACATTAAATAAGTTATTTATTCATTGTGCCGGTGAAGATTCTCAGTTATCCGGGTCATAGTCTTTCTAAAAAAAGATACAAAAAAAATAAAAAAAAAACAGTCAACTGGACTTTGTTTCTAACTTTGAAGACGTTTAGCTTCCCATCCAGGAAACTTTTTCCAATTCAAAAAATGGAATATCTTTGAGTTCAAGGCTATATACAGTAGCCCGACAATACCTTGTTTTTGTTTAGAAAACATGCAAACTGAAACGGACGAACGGGTCCACCCCTTTGTAATGGGGGTCGTTTGGTTTCTTTTGTTAGCCTGCAAAGCGCCATACCTATCTATGTCTCTGAAAGGGGTGTCATTAAAGAGAATTGTTGGCCTGACTGAATAGATGAGGTCTTTTGTTCCCCTGTAAAGGGGCTGGGGCTGTGATGAAAGCAGAAAGTGATCAACTCAATTGCTGTCTTGTAGGTTTTAGAAAGCTAAAATCTGAGTCCACCCCCTCTGTTTAAGGTTTTTTTTTCTTTCTTAACATAGAGGGCTTCCTTCACGCCCCTCTCAAACCACATATTTCCTTTGTCCAAAATGTGAATATTCTGGTCTTCAAAATAATGTCCTTTGTAGGTGTAGATGATCCACAGAGTCTTGTCCTGAAGAGGTCGCCCTTCTGTGTTGGGCCATGCGTCTGTGGAGAGGTTGTTTGGTTTCTCCAAACATTAGGTCTGGGGCTTTTGTGCTTAGGATGCACTAGTCTCTGTTTAAGGGTCTTGTTTGGTTTGAAATGTACTGGGATTTTGAGTTTGGAGGAAATCCTCTTAAGTTTTTCAGAGACTCCAGCAACATATGTGATGGTGTCCTGCTGTGTGTCTTTTGGAATTCCTTGCTGATTTGACAGTTTGAGTATCCACAGGTTTGAAGAACATCTTTGATGTGTTTCTGTTCTTTGTGCTTCCCTTCTGTTTTTGTAAGGACATGCTCAGCATGGTGTTGTAAGGTTCTGATGACTAAAAGTTTGTGTTCCAGTGGGTGGTGTGAGTCAAAAAGAAGATATTGGCCTGTATGAGTGGATTTCCTATAGACTTCAACGTTGAGGTTTTCTTTCTCCTTCCATGCTCACCAAACAGTCCACAAAAGGTAGCTTGTTGTCGTTGGCATCTTCTCTGGTGAACTTGTTGTTGTGGTCAACCGAGTTCATGTGTCTTGTGAAAGCTTCCTTTAATTTCAGCTGGATTTTGACAAATGTGTTATCCACATATCTAAAACAATGGGTTGGTGGTGTTCCTTTGAAAGTGTCCAAAGCTCTCTTTCCATTTCTTTCATGTAAAGATTGGCTACAATTGGTGACATGGGAGATCCCATTGCACAACAATACTTCTGTCTGTAAAAAATGATCCCTGAACTTGAAATAGGTTGTGGAAAAACAAAGGTCCAGTAGGGTGCAGATCTGGTCTGGAGTGAAATTAGTCCTGTTGTTTAGGCCACTGTCTCTTTGAGGACATTTCCTGACTCTTTTCACTGCCTCTGATATAGGTACGCATGTGAAAAGAGAAGTAGCATCAAAAGACACCAAGGTTTCTTCTGGCACCATCTTTAAATGTTTGACTTTGTTTGCAAAGTCTTTATTCATTCTTTTCATTAATATAAAAAATACATAAGGTAGTACTTCCCCAGTTTTTATTTTATTTCCAGATCAATACCATTGAATAAGTCGATTTATCAGAGTGCAGTTTCAATAAAGCCATATGTTCAAAAGTATTGACATTTATAAAATGGTAAAAATGTCATTCTACATTTCACTGTTGGCAATAAAATCAATTTAAATAAAATTTAAGCAAAAGAGTCACAGATTGTAACATGCAATGTTCCCTAAGTTCTTAAAATGTTTGCTAACTTATATTATTGTAACAAATCGCTCCTGAATGTTTTGATTAAAGTTTAACTGAGAATATTTCTTAACCCAACTTTTATTTTCTACCTTTGTAGAACCCAAAGGCTTATAAATGGATTCTGCTCTAAATCAAAAATGAGGGTTTCTTCTTTTGGATCAAGAATTTCTGGTATGAATGTAGTTTAAGCTAGTTTAGAAACAACACTATTGTAAACAAGTATTAGAATTAGTCTCTATCTAAATCTTTAAATTTAAATTTTAACTTTTACTCTGAAAATGGCTTATTCTATAATCATAAACCAACACAGATGACCAAAACAACCTTAGGGGCTTAAATGTAAATCATGATGTCATCTAAGCACATTTCTATCATTGGCTGAAATGTGTCTGACATATTTGGCTGTCTTTCAACTGCTACATTTTTAGAATAGAATTTGGGAAACATTGATTAAATTCAACCCAAATAATATGCAAACTGTTATACCCATGTTATTGATTAAATTTTCAGCTTACCTAATCCCTCTGCTGAAACAGCAACCTAGTATGTTTGGGGGACCATAAAGCAACTTTTCAAATACTTCTGACTTTTCCTATTAGTACAACATATGGTGCATGTGCTTCTGCAATTTGACAACCTAGACATTGATTGGCCAACCTGGACATCCATTCACTCCTGTTTGTGCTGAAAATGTACAAGGTCCACAAATACTGTAGCCATGACTGGTGATTACTGCCTAAATCATAATAAACAAACATGTTTTGCTGTGAGGACAAACTGTTTTAAAAGAAGTCAGCCAGGGAGGGACAATATACCCACACCTCAGATATGTCAAAGAATGAGCAGCCTCTGAGAAGAGGGGTGATGCTGCCATCTGGTGGGGAGAAAGTTAACAAGTTTTTAACCAGCACGGTTTGCTGCATGGCTGCAACAAATGATGTTAGTTATAAAGCCATATAACTTATTAGAGGATTGTAGGGTAGCTATTGCCATATAACATATCCATATATTACCATTATGTGCCCCTTAAACTTTAGAATTATATTTAAAACTGCAGACAGCGGTACCGCTATAGAAGAAATTCCAAATTCCTGGGGGTGCACATCACAGACAACCCCACCTGGACAATTAACATCTCCTTACTGGTCAAAAAGGCACATAAGCACTTGCACTTCCTGCAGAGGATGAGGAGAGCCTACCTGCCTCCAGTCATCCTCACGACCTTGAACAGAAGCACCATAGAGAGCGTTCTGACCAGCTGTCTCCCTGTGTGGTGTGGAGGCTGCAGCTTCTCAGACCGTGAAAACATGAGAAGAGTGGTGAGAACAGCAAAGAGGATCATCTGGGCTCCTCTTACCCCCATAAAAGACATTTAATCCTAGTGCTGCGTGTCCCGAGCCTGTAACATCATAAATGACCCCTCACACCACCACCATGGACAGTTCTCCCTGTTGCCCTCTGGGAAGAGGCTTTGCAGCATTTGATGCATTTGATCCAGCACATTCAGAAACAGCTTTTCCCCTGCTGCAATAAGAGTGAATCTTCAAAATTGAACTCAACTCATTGTTTCTAATGCATTTTGCACCATATCCATTTATTTTTGCACTGCTCTGAACCTTCCACATCAATTCATTTTGCACTATGTCTCTCCCACATTGTTTACTCCTGAACTTTAGAAATGGAATTGTCAATTTCACTGCTAATCTGCTGCACATTCCCGTTCGGA